CAGTCGTTAGTAGTTTTTGTATCGTGCGACAGAGAAAAGAAAATCGGAAAATAATCCGATATATCTGTTTTTATAATACCTGCTTTTAAAGTAACATCAAGAACTGTATTTGTTAATATAGTGTCTATTGACGTCACTGATGATTGAGTTACCCGAGTCGGCTTATTAATAATTGGGAAGATGTAATGTTGGAGCATTTCGTCAAAAAAAATTTTAGTTTTAGCATGTTTATCGTATTGTAAGCAATCAATGTTAATGTCTTCAATACAAAATAGTTATTTTTGTTCATTGTTATTTTTATAAAAAATTTGTTTTAAATGATTAGAAAATTTTGTTATATCACCATCAGGTGGTCTATAACATGTGGAGACATGTTTTTTGATTTGTTATTTGTTGTTATCTCAATTGTAAAGACCTCACTATCGGCATTTGAGGTAGAAAGGTCATCTCTATATTTGGTGGCTGAATCAGTTCGAATATAGTTAATAATTCCCCCTCCCCTTTTATTAGTTTTTCTTTCAGAAGATATTAATTTGTAATTAGGAATTTCTAAGTTTGAATTTATTCTGGACGATTCGTTAGAACACCACGTCTCGGTTAAACAAATCATACTGAATAATTAATTGCATTCGGTTAGAAATTGCTTAAGCTTATCAATGTTGTTAATTATGCTTCTTATATTTATGTGTAATACAGTGGGTTTGTTCCTTAAAGTTGTAAGTTCAGTTTTAAAAGTTTCTGTTTCAAAATATTGAGAACCAAAATTTATTCCTCGAAAAATCTGCGCATCTGCGTCATTCAAATCGTTGGTATAACATTATTTACCGTTTCGAAGACATTAAAGTGCAGCGTTTCAAAATCTATTGTTTTGTTATTCGTTATGCTTAGAATGAAAAATTAAAAGCGCTTTGAAAAAAAAAAATTAAGAAAAATACGCATCGCTACTTTTTAAAATCTCGACTAAATATTTTATTATATAATTTAAAATGGCGTATTTACCTTCACTTCGAAGTCGTTTCACCTCTTCCCAAAGTTTCCTTCGTTTTTCAATCGTTTTTTGCGAAAAGTCCTCGTTAATATACACACCAGTTCCTTTAAGATTTTTTACAGCATTAAAGATTTTGTTTTTATCCTGGAAATTTAAGAGATTTAATACTATTGTTCTAGGTTTTTTATTATTAATTGGGCCAATTTGATGGGCTCTTTCAACAACCACTTCGCTTGATATTTTAAGATTTTTATTAAAGATTTCTTTCACTGCAATTTCACACTCGCACCAACTTTCTCCTGGTTTTTCTACTAGTCTATCTATTCTGAGATTATTTCGACGTGATCGATTTTCCAACTCTGTTGTTCTTGTGTACAATACCTTGATTTCATTGTCGAAGTATTTTTTAATTTTTTTAAGTTTTTCTAAAGTTTTTTCTTCTTGGAAATTTAGACTATCTTTAACGTCGTTAAGATCCTTTTCTATATTTTTAATTTTTGATTTGTTCTCTAAAATTTCTTTCTCCATCACGTTAAGTTTATCTGATATAATTTTAAGGTTGCCACTTACAATTAAAGTTAAAGTTTTCTCTCGTTCCTTGAGTAGCTTTTCTGTTTCCTTTAAAATACTTTTCCTATGTTCGTTTAATTTACTTGATATTAGTATTTCAATGTTTTTCATTGTGATTTCCATTGCTTTTTTATTTACTTAAAACACGTTTTACTCCCGTAGGTTTTGCCGAAGAAAAAAAAGCTTTAGACCTCTACAAAATGTAGAAAAATGTATATACGCTTTAGCATACTATTTATGCACTTTGAGATCATTGCTTTATCATCTGGATCTCAAAGCCATACTGTTCAATTAGTCAATCTGTGAGCTTCTGTTTTCTCTTTATTACGTTATTACTAACTTTTTGCTTGGCAAGCTCCCACAGATTTTCATTAGAGTTAATCTCTGCAAAATTATCTGCAGAATTGCCAATCACTAAGCTTGGTATTCTCATTAGCAAAGAAATGTCTTTATAGATTTTGCAGTGTGGCATGGTGCACTATCTTTCATAAAAACTATTTTCTCAAAATTAGGAAACTGCTCTCGTACCTGTGGAACCACTCTCGTACCTGAAGGACAGTCTTGTACTGATCTTGTTTCATTGCCCTTGTACTTTGTAAAGTTAACCGGTACCCCTACTTGATATGCATGACCTAACCATTATGGATGCTGGGTGCTTTTCAATATTTACAATGTATACTCGCTTGTGTTGTTCTCTTGGTCTGCGGCGAATTAGACATATTTGAGACTTTATCGTAAAAAGTTTCAAAGGTTGATTCATTGCTGATTACAATCTGAATAAAGCAGTAAATATTGATGTTTAATATTTTTTCAAATATTAGTAAAATCAATTGTGGTAAGATACTAATGCAAAAACGTCTTTTAAAAACTTGTAATAATAAAATATTAATTGTTTTGTTTTTAGGAGAGAACAAATGAAAATATACCTTATTCCGGTAAAAAAAGAAGAGTGCTCTGCCCAAGCAAAATATTTTTAATTATCGCAGACTTAAGTTTTGGCTTCTTCAGTGGCTTTCTACACTTAAATCCTAACTCGTAATTTTTCATTCTTAAAGATTAAAGAAAACGTTTTTTAACTTTATTGCTGGCATCTTACAATTTTGTTCGAAAAGTTTTTGGATTTTTCTGTCATCTCTAGGATTTATTATTCATTTTCTGCCACAGGAGCCTGTTCCCTGTATTTCTAATTTGACCCCCATTTTGAGTTTGGAATTTATTCTTCTGACTGTAGTCTTCGAGACTCAGACAACTTTAGCAATATTTCTTTGGTCGCGATTTGTTTTTTGCAGACGAACAACTACATTAGCTAATTTACGAGGGAAAACATCACTTCACTCATTATTCCTAAAACAAGTGCAGCATTCAATAAGTTATTATATGACTGCAAAACTTAAAAAAACTTATAACAGCTACCATTTAAGTTTTTGATTTTATATTATAAATTTACAATACCTTTTATAAAATTGAAAATATTTTTTAAAAGTATATATATTTTATAAATGTTCCCAATCTATAAAGAAAAAAAAATGAAAGGAAGTTAACATAAAACAACAAAAAGTAAACAGCAATAACTCTATAGAAAACTAAAGCAATAACTACCTATAAAAAAAAAATCCAAAAAACTAACGAAATCTAGACATTTCTTACATTTCTATTTTTTTATAAAATAACAGTGTTATAGTTTAAAAAGATACACGGGAAACTCGCAGAAGGTCTTATCATCAATAAAAGACGTCTTGGGTCCACTAGAAATGATCTTTTTTATGAAGTATGCTAAACTAAAAATAACTAACAAAAAACATAAAAATTCTCTTATGTAATACACGTTTCATACCTTCAAACTGGATGTTAAAGTGTTACACAAGGCATAATATGAAAGTGAAACTTTTAAAACAAGTAATGTAGGGGATAACGGGCAAGATGGTGAATGATTTAAAAGCCCTGAGTTATTGCAAAAGTATCAGTCATGATGTAAAAACGCTTAGTCAGTATGTTTACTTTATCGTAATGATTTATTGACAAGCTCAAGTGTAAAGAAATTTGGTTCAAATCTTTAGCATTTTGGGGCAAAATTCCTGATATCGTCACATAAAAATTGTTCAAAAATCAACTTGACTATTCAATGATATGTATTTTCAAAGAGATTTTTGGTAAACAAATAATTTTACTTAAAATTTAATAACACAAAAATATTGTGAACACTTTGTAAATAATTTAAACACAATGTTTCAGTTATGGCATAAAAAAAATTCTTTGCAATGATATTCAAAAGTATTCAAAAATTTAGATTTAAAATTGAAAAATTAATGGCTTATATCTTTCGATAAAAAACCTTTTTTAAAAAACTACGGGCCACCCTGGATATTTATTGTGATATTGCTTCTATTGTAAATAACAATTTAATTAGCTGCATTTTTAGTGGTCTTAAAAAAGTTGCGTTTATAAACATAATACAGAAACCAATGAAGAAATACTGAATTTAAATTGTGGCTGGAGCTAGACATTGATTGGAATTCGGTCATTACGGTCAATCGGTTACGAATATTCGGTCAATAAAATTAGTTTTTCACATTACAATGCGAAAAACTATTTTTATTTAATTTTGACTTCTAAAACCTATATGTAAAATGTGTTAAAACATTTAAATGTGTTAAACTTATTTCTGAATTTAAAAATTATAATAGAGTTAAAAAAGGAATGCTTTTTGTTAAAGGATTTACAACGAACGTTAAAGATAGGATTAGTGTTGGTATATTTTACAAAGGTAAAAAAAAAATAATTCATAAATATGTATATATCTTTTAAGTATCTTTTTTTTTTAAAAAAACTTTCTTTTGTTTAAAAACTATTAACAAATAAAAACCTAAATAAAAATAATAAAAAACATAACTACGCGCAACATTCGACAAAATACTATATCTTTCCTACCCGCAATGCGTTATGGTTTTCTTAATAAAAAATTGTTTCTTTAGTACAATGTTCCTAAAGTATTAGAAAAAATTCAAGTAAAAATTTATAACAGCCATTACATTAATTTTGAATTAACGCCTTGGATTTGAAGAAAAATAAAAGATTTTAAAATCTAAGAATCTTATTAGCGTTGACGCAACCAAAGAGTAAAACAATAAACTCATAAACAAAAAATATTTAAAATTTTCTAAAAATTTCAATATGGTCATTTTTTGTAACTGATTTTTCTTATTTTCACTTTTAAATTTAAATAATTGCTGTTGAAAAAATAAAAGCAATAAAAGATTAAAAAATATTTTTTTTTTATAGAAGTTATACTCAAGTATAAATGAAAGAAATTCCAGCAAAATTTGATAATAAGTTTTTTTATTAGCCACATTGTTTTCAAAATTCACGATTTTATAATAATATTTGCTATAGAAAACATAAACAAGCGTCAATAAATAGTAATATTTTTACAAATAAAAAACGCAAAAAAAAAAAAAAAAAAAAAAATTAATAGTATAGTTAAATCTAATAAAACTTGAGAAAAATAAATATAATATTCACAAAAAGAGATAAATAATTGAAAGTTATTTTAATATTGAAAGCGCTATATCTTAACCATCCGACAAGCCAGCATATTTCTATAAACCGCCACGCATACAAATTTAATAAACTTAAATTAGTTTAATAATACCGAGTAAAGAAGACAACAATGTTACATTGTTGCAGTGCAACAATGTTGAATTGTCTTCGTGAACATTTCGGTCTTCGATGATGCATTGCATCAATTAAAGAACAATTACGTGAGACATAATTACATCCTTGTAGTACATGAATTGGAAAAGTTACTTTTAGATTTCTTCAACGTAATTCACGTTGGATGAACTCTTTGTCAAAAAGCCAGACAATGCAACCTACAACAAACCGAAGAGCAATCAAAACCCATATAATACTTATATAAATCAAAGTATTAAAATTTTTTTTAATAGAAATATTTTCTAAATTCAAATATTACTTGTTTAAGTTCATCGTCTGAAAATTTAATAAAATTGATAAATGAAATAAGATTTTCTTTAAGAATTTCGTCTTCAAGTCCTACGAAATAAAATCGTACGTAGATTTAATAAAAGTTTAGAAGCGTATTGTTTTAGTCATCACCATATTCATACATTCAAAAAGAATTTACCTAAAACTCGATTATATCAAACTTCAAATCAAATAAACATTTACCTAATGCACAAACTCGATTATACCAACTTCTTATTAATTTAAACTTTTTTGTTTCACTCATCTAAAAAAATCATTTTTCGGAAACTTAAAACAGTTCACTGTAAAAATAGTTACAAAAAAAAATGAGCAAAACAATATTTATAATTTAAATGTACATAAATCAAAACAATGTAGTATGAGAGAAACATAACAAGCAATCAAGACAATCAAATACGTGAAAAAAAAGTATAGATGACAAATGTGAATCATCTAGTAAAGGTTTAACCAAGGCAACAATGTGGTATCACATAACCAAGGCAACAATGTTGTATCAAATTGAAACCGCAGAAAACAAATTAAGAACAAAAATTTTTATCATTATTTAGCTTTTTTATTAAACTTTTAAAACCTTCAAAAAATAAGATGTCCGAAAATTCTCTCCATGTAATGTGCAATAGAATCTTTCAGTTACAGCAGTTAGCAAGTTACAGACTGTTACAGACATGTAGAGAAGTCGAATTTAGTTCAAATTATAACTGTGATCTTATTATAACTGCGACCTAATTATAACTGTAATCTAATTATAACAAAATAGACTCTACCTGTCAGTAGGTCTATGGCATCCACTCCTTCCACAATTGTCTGTTTTGAGCGCCTCTATTTATATTTTCTTACTTATTACTTTATTAATTCTGGAAGACATACCCTTTCTCTCTCTTGCATGTGCATATTACAAAGTTGAATACGTAATGCTTCTTATGTATTTTACTTGCCTTTGTAATATGCACATGTTTAGAAAATTCAGTGGTCCAATTGCTTGCAATTATTACATTGAAGATAAGTCAACTGGCAAGAAGAAAATAGTATACCGTACAACTTTCATTCATGCAATTGTATCTATTAAAAAAACTGGCTGGAACTGAACTGGCTGTATAATAACTGTACTGATGAACACAAAGTCTTATATCAGATGCTTTACAAATTTTTTGTTTCTGATTTTAACAAGTCAAAAGATTAGGTTGTAGCTGAACTGCAAAGAAATTTTATTTGCAAAAGCATGCAGCATTTCCCCACTTACTTAAGATCTCTGATGAAGACACACAAGATTACATACAATCAGCAGCAGGTACAAGTTTGGCCTAAGGCGCCTGTTCAGAAACCTTTCTATGCCAGACAGCTAGTTTAATACAATTTAGCAATCTGTAACATGTTATCAGGAAAAAATACTGTTATACATAAACTGAGAGTGAAGCAGCATGCATACCACTTTCTTAGCAAGACCTTTGTTAATTTTAGTAAATCAAGGCTTTGTTAATTTTGGCAACTCAAGTATTAAAATATTCAGTAATGGTTGTGGAGGACAGAACAAAAACAATATCCTCTTAGGCATGGTTCTACATTGGCTTTAAGAAACAACTGTTAGTTGTGAAAGCTAGAATAAAGATGTGTTGTTAATATTTCCAGTACAAGGTCATTACTTTTTACCATGCGATCTCATATTTGGAAGAATATCACCCGACACAACAAGCAAGTCAAACAACTATACATGTAAAAAGTATCATGAGATATTCAAGGTGCATGCTGATGAATTGTTTGTTTATGGTAAGGATTCATATAAATCATAGAAACTGCTTGTTGGACTGCAAGAACTAAAAAAAACACTCATTCATTCGTCAATAGGAAAGTGAGTTATTATTGTAGGTAGAGAGAAAGCAAGAAAATATAAAATGAGTGATAAGACTTCGTGAAGGCAAAGCACGAAGTTGAATTAAACAATTATCATTTCATTCAAAGGTGAAGCCATAATAAGTGACAGGTTCCCAACCTTTGTCTACTGAGACTTTCAGACATTAAAAATCTTCTTAAAGTGACATAAAGTAACTTAAAGTTATTTCTGCTTGATAACCACAAAACCAAAGATTAAAAAATTAAAAAATTAAAGCAAACAATGATAGCTTTATAATTGTTTTTGTTTCTTTTGTATGACAAGAATGAAGTATTTTATATGCGGTAGTAGTGAAGTGGTAGAGCGCTTAAATCATAAGCAAGAAGTTTTGAGCTTGATTCCCACCATGTCCCTGTTAATACTGCGCTCAACTTATTTCTCTGCGCAGTAGCCTTGTTCATCAAGGTTTGTGTTTCGGAGTAATAGAATTGAGAGAGGGTTGTAATCACAACCAAAAGTAACCTCCTTGACTGTAGTGGCCTTCTCGGCCTTGGAATTATGAAATTCCAGAAAACATTAAAAAAATATATAATGCATATATATATATATATACACACACACACAGATTTTTTGATTAAAATTAATACCTTTAAATTTAAGGAAAGTACTTGCAGTAAGCAATCTTCTGATAATGAAGCCATGTCAAATGAATCAAATATTTTGTCAGCATTTACAACAATGAATTCTGAAATCTGAAATAATAATAAATTATTATTCTAATATATTTGAGTTATTAATTTGATCATTTTTTAAAATTAATACAAAAGATAAAGTGTGTACATGAAATGGATGTGAAAAAATAAATATGTCGTTTTTTTTGGTTGTATTAACACACTTTTAAATATATATTTTTTTCTATTTGATACGATGCTTGAATTAGACTTAGCAATGAAGCCCACCGAGAATTATGAAACATTTCAGTGAAAAACCTTTTTATATAAAAGAGGATAAGTAAAAAAAAAGAAAAGATAAACAAACAGGTGTTCAGAACAAACACAAACTTATTTTAAGGATACAAAGCTTATACAAAAATCACAGTTAACAATAACTTTATTGTTAAAGTATATTTAAAACAAACAGAACACATGAGCAACATATATAATAAAGTAACCATAAACCTTCATTAAATACAAAAGTTTACGTTACTTTAAAACAAACATATATGCATAGATATATCAATATTTAAAATTAACAAACATAATATGATAGGAGGTATAAGATAAAAAAAAACATTATTGCTTTTGTTTAATCATAACTTATGTAGTGGTGGCAATAAACTTCTGCTCAGAATCATATTTATTATTACCAGCATATTTACAATACCTAGTTTATCCCTTCAGATAAACATCATCACCATTTATGCTTTAAGCACTAACATTTTTGAAGAAATAATATGAACATATGTATGTATATATATATATATATATATATATATATATATATATATATATATATATATATATATATTATATATATATATATTATCGCCATAGTTTAGACCTTCCTTTATTTATGAACGGTAATGTACTCGATGAGTCTCCTACCCTTCATTTTCTAGAATTAACTCTTACTTCTGATCTTTCTTGGAAACCTTATATCAAATCCATTGCAAAATTAGTATCTGCTAAAGTTGCTTCTCTTTATTGAGCTCGCCACTTCCTTACTCTGGATTCTATTCTCTATCTCTATAAATCTCAAATCCGGCCTTGTATGGAATACTGTTGCCATATCTGGGGCGGATCTTCTAATGATGCCCTTTCTCTTTTAGACAAAGTGCAAAAACGCATTGTAAACATAGTTGAACCTGCTCTTGCAGCCAACCTTCAACCTCTGTCACATTGTCGTAATGTTGCTTCTTTTTCTCTTTTCTACTAATACTATAATGGGCACTGCTCGAAGGAGCTAGCGACTCTTATGCCATCTACTAAAATTCATTCTCGTGTTACTCGTCATTCAGTTAAGTTTCATCCTTTTTCTGTTACTGTTCTCAAGTGCTCCAAAAACTCTTATTTGTCTAGTTTTTTCCTCGAACTTCAGTTCTTTGGAAATCGCTTCCTTCATCTTGCTTTCCTGATTCATATAATTTGCAATCTTTTAAGTTGTCTGTCAATCGTTATCTTGCTCTATAATCTTCATCTTTTCTCTTCCAGTAACTTCCAACACTAATTAGTGGTTGCTTGCAGCCTTGTTGGAAGCGAAGTTAATTAATATATATATATATATATATATATATATATATATATATATATATATATATATATATATATATATATATATATATATATATATATACATACATACATATATAAGATAAATATATAGGATAAAATGAAATAAATAAATGAAAAATTTCACAAAAAGAACAAAAATAATGATGATATTAAATAATAAAAACTATTATATTCTAGTAGAAAACCTACAAAATACTGATAATTGCTGTTAGAAGTCTAAAAATGGTACTTAATGGATAAATAAACCCAAGCCAATAAGATAAAGAAATTTATATAGAATTATAAAAACAACAAAACCATACAAAGTTTAAGGTCGTCATAGATACCTAGATCGAATGACAAAAAGAAAACTTGAGAGAACAAATTATGTGCAAATATTAGGAAAATCCCAATTAAAGCTACAATTCAATAGCATAAGAATTGAAAATACATTCCCATGTTGTGTTATTCAACATTTTTTTCAATTAAAATTAAACGCAAATCTGGTGATAGAAGGAGGATTTTCAAGATTAAAACTGGTTACAAAACTGTTAAGATTAATTTAAGCCTTTCACTAAGGGAATGCACAAAAAGATTTTCTTTTTGTTTTGTTGTAAAAATTAAATAAAAAAAACATGGTTTTCATTCTTTAAAATCAAAAAAAAAAATAAATGGTTAACTGTTCTGAAACTTAAAAAAATGCTGCAGAAAGTTGTATGACAATTTTATTTCTGTATTATTGAAGATTCGTTGTAAAATTAACATCAACTAAAGTTGCATCTCATCCGTTGCAAATTTAACATCTGCTAAAGTTGCATCGAATCCGTTGCAAAATTAGCATCTGCTAAAGTTGCATCTCTTTATCAAGCTCAACATTTTCTTACTCTGGATTCTATTCTCTATCTCTATAAATCTCAAATCCGGCCTTGTATTGAATACTGTTGCTATATCTGGGGAGGATCTTCTGATGATGCCCTTTCTCTTTTAGACAAGGTGTAAAAACGCATTGTAAACATAGTTGGACCTGCTCTTGCAGTCAACCTTTAATCTTTGTCACATCGTCATAATGTTGCTTCTCTTTCTCTTTTCTACAAATACTATAATGGGCACTGCTCTAAAGAGCTAGCGTCTCTTGTGCCATCTACTAAAATTCATTCTCATGTTACTCGTCATTCATTTAAGTCTCATCCTTTTTCTGTTACTGTTCCTTAGTGCTCCAAAAACTCTTATTCATCTAGTTTTTTTCATTGAACATCAGTTCTTTGGAATTTGCTTCCTTGATCTTGCTTTCCTGATTCATATAATTTGCAATTATTTAAGTCGCCTGTCAATCGTTATCTTGCACTACAATCTTCATCTTTTCTCTTTCAGTAACTTACAACACTAACTAGTGGTTGCTTGAATCCATGTTGGAAGTGAAGATGTATAAAAAAAAAAAAAATTAAAAAAAATTAAAAATTATTGAAGATGATGAATCTATAAGTGCTTCATTTGCACTTAAAATGGCCACACAACTTACAATTCAACTCAACCTCCAGAACTTCTTAACATTACAAGAAGAAAAACAAAACAAATAATGTGCCTAAAACAGCAAACCCTCAAACAGAATTTAGATTTATTGAAAAACTCTGGACATTTATTAAATGAAAAAAAAAAGGAAAAAAAAAAAAAACTGCAGAAACATTAAAAATTTGAAAATGTTATTAGAAAATAATAAAAAATAGTTTTGATTTTTACTCTGTGCGCAGGTTTATGGGTATCACCAAAGTATTATGGGTATCACTAAAGTATTATGGGTATCACCAAAGTATTATGGGTATCACCTAAGTATATAGGTATTACCAAAATAAAAGTTTTAGATCATATTAGATGCCTACAGCAATAAATTAATTTTTTTTTAATGTTTTATCTTATGTCAATGCAATGAAAATATTACTAAGTTCTAAATAAAAATTTGAGTACTTTTTTAAGTAGTTTTTTTTACTTTCACAATTATTTCATTAACACACTTTAGTTTGCTAATTTAAAATATGTTTTGAATTAAAATATAAAAATGTTTAAAAAAAAAAAAAAAAATTAATAAAATATCATCAAAACCTTTTTCTCAAGAAGTTTAGCAACATTGTATCGCAACACAAATTGACGTACTGATGAAAATAAAAGACAAGCCTAAATATTTAACACATACCATCATTACAATACTTGAATAAATAGTTGCTACTTAACAACATCATTAGAATAATTGAAATAGTAAGTAATTGTTACATGCAATAACAAAAAAAAATTTAAAATGGAGAGAAAAGTATGGAGATTTTTAACTTCAAAAAATAAAAAAAAACTAGCAGTAATAAGTAATCTTCTGAAAAACTGTTTTTCAAATTTCAAAATACCAAAAAAACTGCTTTTAACCAGTTTTTAAAATTTGTAAAAAAAAATTGCATAGGAAGAAATATTTGATTTAACTTATATGAAACCACAAAAAACAAAATCAATATCAAAATCAAAATATAAAAAAAATGAATTACACATAACTTACACCAAATGACAAAAGCAAAAATTTTATATTAGGTTCAATATTTATATTTATTTCACTTATTATAATTTTTTATTTGGAAATAAGATTTAAAAAAACCTAAAACATCCATTGAACAGTGGGTATGGCCAAGAACATATTTACACCCTTTGGCAGGCTTCAGCTGAATTTATTTTCAGAGCCCTCAAAAATATTTTGCAAAAATTATTCAGAATTTAAAACTAGTATAAAGTATATATAGTCTAGATTATTGATGTTCGTTATTTGCTCTTGTAACTATAATTCTTAATTTAAGTGTTATGTTTATATATACATTCATTCTAGAATTTCATTGTGCTGAATTAATCTCCGTGCAAATTAAAGTGCAGTGATGATTATGCAAATCGAACTTAAAAAACCTGTTATAGAATGATTCTCTATTTAAAAGATTAATCAGTTGAGATAAGTATGTATAAAAAAAATTTGCATTTTTTTTATACATACTTGTTTCACCTGATTAATCATTTAAATGGAGAAAATACTTTTTTTTGTTTTCTGACATAACAGTGAAAGTTAGTGACTTTTTTAGACATTAAAGAGACAATTGTTTTGACTAAGACAAAAAAAAAAAAAATTAATAGTATGACTGTAAATGGTTTTTAAATGTGAAGTTGAGGCTTTAAACCAAAAATCCGATACTTATACAATTACCATTGCTAAATTTAAAATAGTAACTTATTTTTCAACAACCTAGCATGGTATCATTCCTGTGAAGGATATTCTTTAAATGAATGTCATAGTATCAATTAATTTCAGAAAATATTTGTGTAAATGAATGAATTTTATTCATTTTTATTTTTCATAATTAATTCCTCAAATCTGGTAAAATTATTAAACGAAAAAAACAAAATCATATCTTTTTTTGGGGGGCCGAATCAAATAAAACTTCATGATCTTAAAAAAAATAATAATAAAATTCCAAATTTAAAGGAATTTTTTGAGATTAATTTTATTATGGAATGAATAAAAGAAGAAAATGTTAATTTAATAATAATTTATAATAATTTCAATTTCATAATTTTAATTTCAATTAGAAAAAAGAAACTATATTTTAAATTTATATATTGAAATTCCTAGAGTTTCTTTTTAAATGATTTTTTTTTAATTTTTAATATATATTGCCTTGATTTTGATGCCTTGAAAGAAGCAACAAAAAAATGAAAACTAATTCCGATATTTCTACTCTAAAACTCCATTTTACTCTATTCTCCTTATTTGTTATTCTACTTTTTCAGTTTTATAATTCTTTTTTAATTTTATAATTCTTAATTATTTTATTATTGATTATTTTAATTTTACTTATATAATTTATTTCTTCAGTAATTTTCTATTTTTTAACTTAACTTCCCTAATTTTTTCTATTTTTCATCAAATCCACTCTGAACAAGACTATAAGTAACCACAATTTAAATTGTGAGTTAACAGAAAGCAAAAAAAAAGTCGTAATTTATTACTATATGGACAAAACTTCCTGGACAAAACTTATTTTCATTTTAAAAACAGGATTAAATCAAAACTTATTTCATTTCCTTAAATGATTAGCAAAAGGATTATTATTTTTATAGTTTTAGCTAAAAATATTTTAGGTCAAAATATTCTTATAAGTGAATTTTTTTTAGTGAGATCTTAAGATGTGGAAAGGCTTTTAGTGATGCAACTTAACAAAATAATAAAAATTAAAATTAAAAAATGTGAAACCAGTTACCTGATAAAGAAGATATATATGCATTTAGAAAGCAAATTTTAAAAAGAATTATGCACTGATTTAATATATATATATATATATATATATATATATATATATATATATATATATATATATATATATATATATATATATATATATATATATATATATATATATATATAATATATATATATATATATATATATATATATATATATATATATATATATATATATATATATATATATATATATATATATATATATATATATATATATATATATATATATATATATATATATATATATATATATATATATATATATTGTTGTGCTACAATAATATAAGTAGCACAACATTAATGGGACAAAACTGCCTGATTATTAATAATCTTAATATAAGACTTCTTTTAAATAATAATTTATTATAATAAAACAGTAAATAAATAGCAACAAATAATAGTAACTACTATAAATAAAATTCTTAGTTAACGAACCAATATCAAGTAAACAAAATAGTTACTTACATTATATGGGTTAATTAATTCACTACAGCAATCTACACATAATTGCATTAACTCTCGAACTCCATAACACTCAGCAGCACATGCGACTCCAATTAAAATATCCTTATGGATGAAGCAAGAACCATTATGAATAAACTCTAACAGGGCTTGAAACTCATAAGGTTCAAATTCTGTAATACTAAACTAAATAATAAATAATTTAATTAAAAAAATACTTTTTTGTGTTTAAGTTGTTTTAGGAAAAAGTAAACCAACAAAAAACCCTTCATTCATTTCAGCACTCCATTTTACTCTATTCTCCTTATTTGTTATTCTACTTTTTCAGTTTTATAATTCTTTTTTAATTTTATAATTCTTAATTATTTTATTATTGATTATTTTAATTTTACTTATATAATTTATTTTTTCAGTAATTTTCTATTTTTTAACTCAACTATTTTTTTTCTATTTTTCATCAAATCCACTCTGAACAAGACTGCAAGTAACCACAATTTAAATTGGGAGCTAACAGAAAGCAAAGTTGTTATTTATTACTATATGGAAAAGTTGTTATTTATTACTATATGGACAAAACTTATTTTCATTTTAAATCAAGTAAGTGGTTAAACAATTTTTAATTTTCTAGTCTCAAAAAATGGAGTGCACCAAGTGATATGACCAGTGTAAACTCTTAATAAAACTCATGATAGAAGAACAAGCACAGAAGTTTGAAAATATTAACTACTATGTTGCACTAATTTATATCTATATCATCAGAATCACAAGCCATATGAGTTGTTCTCTTGTTACCTTTAAGAACAAGATAAAAGGGGTGATGAACAAGCAGTATGAATGATTGTGAGCTCAAAAATATCACTTTGTCTTTTGTGAGTTTTCTACTATTGGGGTACAAGAGCTCAAGTTTAAAATTGATGGTGCCAGATCATCCAAAAATTGTTGCATTGCAACAACATTTGCCCAGCAACTTTTATTCAGCATGTTTTTAGCCATTCAAAATTTTCGCTATTTACTGATTTTTCTTTATTCATTACCCTAGCCAAAAAGCCCAACAGAATCCTATAAAAAATTGGAACAAAAATAATTTCAGATTTGAACCCCATCAAATTAAAACACATAAGTTTAAAAGTGTTTATAGTAATCAAAGTTTTCATCCATTTTTCTCATAATGAATTTTGGAGCTTTCTTCTTTGCATTTTTAATTAGGTCTATCCAATCATCCAGAACAAATAATTGGTACTTTATTTTGTTAGCTTTTTTGATCACAGCAAAGCCCTGGTTGAAGGAGAAAAAAGAAACAAAAAAAATGTCTAGAAACAAAAAAATTCTATTTTGAGATTTTTGTAGATGTAGATTTGCACAAAGTATATTGCAACATATGACACTTTTTCAAACCACAAAAATTTTTTTTAGGGAGGGGTAAAAAATTTGATGCATAGTTTTAGTAGGGGGTAGTTGATGAAGGGATGGGAGAATCAGTAAAGTGTGACATTTATTACAAGAGAATGGTTCAAAACTGTCAAATATTGTATGACCTGATATTGTTTAAAGACGACCTTAACTTACCCTTAAGGACCCTTAACTCAATCTTATTTTCCTGTTTGCTGAAAAATGGCATCTGTGGTTTCAAATTTTGAAAACTTTTTCAAAAATTTGAACCACAGATTTTGATTGAAGGAGGTTACTCTGATTTTTTATTGATTTGATTGAGGGAGATTTTGATTGACCTATCACACAGTCAGTCTTCTTTACTACTTTTTTTTACTTACTAATAAAGTCTTTGAATCTTGATTTAAAAAATTTTAAATATCTATTCTATAAGTCTAATAACTTGTCTTCTGTAAAGCAAAACAATTTTTAATCTTCTTGTTGACTTGTTAACCATTATAACAGAAAAGTTCAATCGTGATCAAACAAGTGATCAAACACTCTTGTCACAAACATGAAATTTAAATCCACCCTAGACCTCAAGATGTACTACGCTAAAAATTTTTTCATCAAAGAGAGTTTAAAAAGATTCTTGTTTCAGAGATTGAAGTTGAGATTTAAGACTTGGGTTTAACAAAGCTTCACCCTTTTGGTTTCTCATTTATACTAAAAATCTTGCTTATAATCTTACATCTAAAGTTCTATATCTATTCTATTCTAAATCTTATATCTAAAGTGCCTGTATTTTTGTTGGTGACAGAATTTTATACTCCATTTAAAAAAAAAGTAATCACTTTTTGATTGCTTATAACAGGCATCTTCACGAATTATTCTTTTATGACAGTTTGGAGTATGCAGTAGCTGATAAACTGTATTGGTGAAAAATAAACAAAAATGTCAATAATTAAAGTAATATTATTGATGTTAATGAATGGCATCACTGTAACTGGTACCACAACTTTACTATTTCACAAATTATCATTCACTTCTGACCTCTATTGCAAAGTTAACATTTGCTATGCTTGGCTTTCTATATTGTGCTCACCATTTTCTAACTCCTGATTCTAATCTCTACCGCTATATTCTCTATATATATGTCTATAGATTTGTCCTTGCATGGAATACTGTTTTCATATTTAGACTGGTTTTTCTAATGATGTACTTAGTCTTCTAGACAAGGTCCAAAAACACATTGTAAATTTTGTCTATAATGACCTTATAGCTTGCAGCCTTGTCGGAAGTGAATTGGGTTAAAAAAATAATTTTTTTATAAAACATAGAATGAAAAAAAACTAAACTTCATTTTTTGTTCAATGAAAAAGGAAAAAAAAAGCTAGATTTCATTTTTTGTTTTAATGAAAAACAAAAACACAGTAAACTTCATTTTTTTTCTAACTTACAATGCTTATTATTCTTATTAGCATTTACATTATTATAATTGGAACCCAGTACATTGTATATATATATATATATATATATATATATATATATATATATATATATATATATATATATATATATATATATATATATATATATATATATATATATATATATATATATCTTAAAACCAGTAAACATTATACACAACATATTTATTTTCAAATTATAATTTAAAACCTCTTTTATAAATGGAACATCGCTATTTTGAATATTTGATGATTTTTTATTAGATGAAACATATTGATTCAGCGTATAGGCTTTTTTCCAAAAGTCTGACCACCTTTTGCGAACATTAGCTGGAACAGAGGATTGTGTAGAACTGGAATACAGCATGGAGTTAGATCGAGATATTGTCATATGATCACAATATAACAATTCATAAAAAACCCTAAAAATACAAAACATAAATTTTCAAAATTATATTCAATGTTAAATACTTTTTACATATAAACTTATGACTTTTTATTGAAATATAAAATGAAAACACTAGATAGTAGAAAATAAAGTTGTACATTTCTATAGTCAACATGGAAAAAGTAATTCATGAAGTAAAAGAAGAAATAATGTGGTGGATGTAAGAAATTTCAAAATAAAATTATAGTTTTAAAGATAGGGTGCATGATGAGCTAGGGTGTTTTAAAGGTAATGTAAGCATTAGTTCTCAATGCTCTACTGCTTTTAATACTTAAAATTATTTATAAAAATGAGAATAAAAACAAAGTGTAATACAATAAAAAAAAAACAAATAGATAATAATTTAAAATAGTAATTAATTCACTAGTTGTAAATGATATAAAAAAGATAAACTTACAAAAAAGTAATAAACAAAATAAAAATAAGCAAAACAAACACCTGCTTCTTGCTGCAAGAATAGCTCCAACAGCTGGTAAAACAACATCATTGTTGTCACCTTAAAAAAACTAAAATTCATCAATTAAATCAAAAAAGGTATTTCTGCATTGTTTTCTGTAAACTGGATCTTTTTCAGCAAAATAAAAACTTTAGTTTAAAGCAAAACTGATGCAATATTTTCAATGAACTATTTCTTAAGAGAAAAAAAATTGTATAAATAGTATACATAAGAGATAAAAACTAAACTAAACCTATTTAAGTTTCAACTAATTAGAAACCTATATTGTGAAATATATGGATAAAATAAACTTTTGGTAACCACTCATTGACATCATGAAAAAGCATTGTTTAAAAATAAGATATCATATGTAGCAATAAAAATAAGATATCATATGTAGCAATAATAATAAGATATCATATGTAGCAATAAAAATAAGATATCATATGTAGCTATAAAAACTATGACACCATATGTAGCAATAAAAAACATGAGGCATAATAAACAAAATAATTGAATCAAATTAATTTATAAAAAAAATGACTAAATTTTTTGATAGAAAACGAAAAACAATTTTATAACATCAACTCAAATATAATTTTTTAAATATGAATATCCTTCGAAGCTTAAATAATGTGACGGATATTAATATTTAAAAAAATTATACATAAATATAATATTTATCTATAGATAATATCAAAACAAAATATAAAAAGTTTTATATGGTAATATAAAGCACACTAAAAAATACTTTCAAGGTATCATTAAATCTTTTATTAAATTTAAACTAAGTTTAAATAAAAAGTTTTCAGTTTACTTTTTAAGTTTTTTAATTAAAAAAAAACAACTATAATTTAACTAAAAAGTTGCTTTATTATGTTTGCATTAATAACGCTTTGTCTACTTTGTTTTTATGTCATAAATATTTTTTTGTTACAATTAATATTATTAAAAAGAAAAACAAAAAAACATAGGTTTACCTATTTTTTATTTTTACCTTCTATTTTTATTTATTTTTATGTTATTATATTTATCTTTTATTTTAAGACTACTCTAAGCACACAACTAAAAAAAAGGTTTAACCAGTTATTAATCCATTATTAATAACTTGTAACAACTCTTTAAACATTGAAGATGTTAACTTTATCTGTTTATCAACTTTAATCGGTCTAAAACCTAGTGAACCTTATGGTCCTGGCAGAATACCAAATATAGTTTTGAAAAAGCTAGCTCTTGCTTTATGTATTCAAGCATGTGACATCAGACCCTAAATAAATGGCTTCAAGCTTGTGTTTTTCCAAGTTTTAAAAAAGGAGCGACATCAGACCCTAATAATTATAGAACTATTTCATTCACAAGCAGCTGTTGTTGTGCAATGGAAAGAATTATTAACTCGGATATCATTAAGTACTTAACTCACGATAACTTAATAGCCAATAACTTTGTTTTCCTCAAGAAACACTCTACTTGTACAAACCCTTTAGAGTCTGTAAATGATTGGAGTATTGCACTAGACAAACATTGAACAACAGATGTTTATATTGACTTTCAAAAGGTATTTGATTCTGTATCTCATTCTAGATTATTAGCCAAACTTGCTATGTTTAACAAAAGAGGTAATTTATTAAGTTGGGTTGCTGCATTTCTTACCAATAGGTGTCAACAAGATAAGGTTAGATGTTCATTACCAAACTTAACTCTCATTGTTAGCGGAAATTCTCAAGGTAGCCTGTTATGTCCAACATTATTCTTACTATATATCAACAATTTAACTGTTACAGTTAACAATTTTGATTGCTCTTTAAAGCTTTATGTCCATGATATCAATTTATATTGTTCATTTTGCAACACAGATCATAGCTACCACTTAGCTAATGCTCTTGATAATGATGTACTTTGGTCAGAAACATGGCAACTACATATTTCATACAGCAAGTGTTTTATTAATAGGATTGTGCCTGCTTCATTGAGAAAATGTATCAACTTTGAATATAACTTAGGAGATCATACTTTAGCTTGGTCTTCTGGTCTGAAAGTTCTCGATGTAACTATGGATTCTCACCTTAACTATAAAAAATATATTTTAAACCCTATATGTGTAGCTAATACCAGAGCATGCCTTATTTTGAGATGCTTCAATTCTTGCAATCCAAGTATCTTAGTAAGTGCCTTTATTACCTATATTAGGCCTATTTTGGAATATTGCTCCCCAGTTTGGTCACCATATGATGTTGAACTAATAAAAGAAGTTAAGAACATGCAAAAACATTTCAACAAAAAAATCCTGCACTTAAGCAGTTTAACCTAATATAGTCAACTTTAGTTGCTTGATTTGGTATCACTTAAGATAAGGCGATTAAAACATGATTTATTAATTTGCTTCAAAATTCTACATAACTTGGTCTTGATTAATAAACCTATGTTCTTTTTATTGACAACAAAAACAAATTGGGAGGGCATAAATATAAAATGCGCCAACAACAATGCAAACTAGATATTCATAGAGTTTCTTATACCGAATTGTTAACATTTGGAATCAGTTGCCATTCGATGTTGTTTATGCCGATAATATCAACATCTTTGTCAGTAAAATTAATTTTGAAAATTTATGTTAGCATTGAAAATTTATGTTAGCAAAATTATGTTAGCATTATGTTAGCATTGAAAACTTATGTTAGCATATCTTATTATTTCCTTTTATATAATTTATTTATTTGATGTTGTACATTTTTACATAATTTGTTTTGGGACACGCTTAGTGTCCAACAATATGGACCTGCATGTCCTTTACACGTATTATTTGTTGTAATAAATACAATGTAATCTATTAAACTCATCCATGTTATTAATGATAAATCTAAGCACTTTCAGATAAGTTATTTAGTATTTTTACATTTAATGAATCCAAATGCAGATACTATATCAATAACTCAGCAAAATATTAACAATGTAAAATCAATTTAAGATACAGTAAACATTTAGGTAAAAATCAGTAAACCCAAGTTTACCTTTAATAAACTAAAAATCTATTACTAGGAAAGGTTAAGATTTTTCAAATGTAGAAAAGTATGTTATAAAAGAAATATCAATTCTAACATAAATAATTTAATATCTTCATGTTCATAAAATGTCATTTAATAAATGAAATACCATTGAAGAACATATTACATGTCTTTGGTCTCAAATGAATCACCTGCTTGATGATAAAGCATATTTTCCTGATCAAAGGAAAATTGGCCTAATGGGTTCAATTTTTTCCGTTGATAGAGAAGCTGTCAAAAGAAAAAAAAAACTCTTTGTTGAACAACAATATCTTATACAGTAGTTGATAAAGCAGAAATTCTCTTATCAAATGTAAAAGATATGAAACAAAAAAAATAAACAAGTAGTTTGGGGTTGATGGCAAAACCAAAAACTCAATCAATAAAAATACTAAGCTTACTGCAATTAGAAAAATCCATTAAAAATGATAAAACAATGCATTGAACCAAAACATCACCTCGCATTATGAAGATAGTAAAATCTGCTGAAAATTATTTGAACCCTAGAACAATTTCATTTAATAGTGCTTAGTTCTTTCTACTGAAATGTTAAGTGTTATACACAAATTGACAGGGTGCAAAGTATACAGGCTGTTTCTGTTGGCAATACTGTTTTCCAATACTAGACTAACAAGTGGCTTAGTGGTAAAACTTAAGTGTCTTTAAAAAGAAAACTATAACTAATTCAACTAGATTTAAAAAAACTTTCAAAAGCTTCCAAGCTTTAATTTTAAAAATTTATGATGACATAACTGCATCAAAGAACTTCAGCAGACTTTTTCAACAAAAGCTCAAATTATTAAGGATACAAATCGAGTTTTAATTAAGTGTGTTAAAAATCCAATGGTAGACAAAGATTCCAGAAAAAAACTTATAGAACTAAATTAATCTTAGTTTTAATTAAGAGACCTTTGAATATCGCAAAGATATTGATTCCTCAAGAAATTTTTAAATAAATGAGCTGCTAATAAAATTGGCTTGCTCAATGTTGTTAAACCTATTGTATTGTGTAAACCTAGTGTTTTGTGTAAACCTAGCATATTGTGTAAACCTAGTGTATTGTGTAAATCTAGTGTATTGTGTAAACCTAATGTATTGTGTAAACCTAGTGTATTGTGAAAACCTAGTGTATTGTATTAAAACAAGTGTATATGGTTAAACCTAGATATTGTTTTAAACCTAGCTTATAGTTAATTGTCTCTAGTATATAAACAGAGAAAATAAATAGCTAGTGTTTTGTATAAAGCAAAAACCAAGTGCATTGTGTAAACCTAGTGTATTGTATTAAACCTAGTGAATAGCTAATTGTCTCTAATATATAAACAGAGAAAGTAAATTTAACATGTCTTTAAAAAAACTAGTCTATTTTGTTTTTCAGGTTTACACTCTGCTGCAATTTAAAATATAAATTTTTTTTTAAACTTGTCGCCTCCTTAAACCTTATTGTTTCAACTATCACTTGAATAAATAATCTATTAATGATTTTAAACTGTAAAAATGTAAAGCCATACATTAAAGGTAATGCATTTTGTTAAAGGCCAAAAACAATATTTATGTTAGATTGACAACAAGATTTAAAATTTTGGTATTCAAACCCTGTCAGACAATCAGGTCAACCACAAAAAATGTACATAAATTTACTGATAACTTTTAGTTGAGATATCAAATAAACAAGCTTTTAACAAAATTAAATAATTCTTTGAATAGCTTTTAAATATTCTTGATTTTCTTAAAGCATTTTTTTATCAAAAGTGTTT